CTCGGGGTGTGCCCGACGGACACCGCTCGCTGTAGTTGCTTTCGGGGTGCTTAGTGTCTGGTGGAAGACGAGCGCCTCCGTAAGTACGCTATTTCGAGCGGTTCTGCCACAAACTACCTTCTACGTCTAAACACGCGAGGATGGGTGGCGGTTATGGGCTCAGAGATGCCCTGGCGCGAGCTGTAGTGGCGAGCGGCTATCCGCGATGGTGGCGTGCCAGTTTCGACGAGCTAGAGCGGCCAGAGGATTAACGCGTGAGCGAGTGAGCATGAGGAGCTTACAGCGAGCTTGCCCGTGGTGATGGTTCGGTTAGAGGCGGTCCAAACAGGGCTGGCCACATGCGATCGAGTAGGGCGGCGGAGCTCTACGATGGACACCGGTGCGTTACCCCACCGACGACTAGCATCCTAGGCAAAATAGTGCGAGCACCGGATGGTGGAAGTCAAGGCGAACTCAAGGTTACAAGCAATTGAACTGTTACCGCTCCAACATGCCTTACCCCCAATCCACATACTCAGTGGTGCCCATGGCCGGCGGCGAGCAAAACTTGAAATTGGCCATGGCTAGACCACCGCTGGATCCGACGAGAGTGGGACATCTATGTAACTCTCCATATTACTTACTAGTACAAGGAATTGGGCTAGGAGGGCTTGAGTTGGTGATTATGAAGGGGGGGCGGCGCATCGCCACTGCTACATCACGCGACGTAGCCCCAGCAGAGGTGACCCGATCATGACCCTATAGGGTATGACAACTCGAGGACATGGCCACATGGGCGAGGGCAGGAGGCATGTTGGTTAGTGCTTAGATAGAGCCAAGTGGGGTGCCAGCGTGCGGAGCACTTGAATGCAGTAGCTGGGCCCGAGCGGCTCACCGGCGTTGGCTAGCGGGACAGGGCGAAGCAGGGAGGCATCACCATCACCCTATAGCTAGGGTCGGTTGACCGAGACGCAGCGAGCGGTGACACGGACCCATGGTAGGTGAATCGTAGGGCAGGGCAACTACCACACGAGTATGGCAATGATGGGCATAGCCTCGGCTGGCTCGACAACGGTGGCCGTGGCTGGCTCGGCCCGTTGCGTAGCACGGGGGCGGCGATGAGATGACCACAGGCAAGGCTACAAGTGATGTGGTGCGCGCGTGCGGTGGTGGGTGACGCACACCCGACCAGCCAGCCCGAAGCGATGTCATGCATAGATCTTAAAGTGTAAAAATCAACCGATTAGAGCTCGGTTGAGATTAAAACAAAAGCTCAAGACTCTAGTAGACACTAAGGGCTTCGTATCCAGGCAAGAAGTATGGCCAAAGGGTGACCAGCGGGGGAGATAGAGAGGTGCAAATGTGGGTTCGTCACTCTGAGCGTTGTCCCATGAACGAAGCGCTAACAGCGTGGACACAATGCGTTCTAAGGAAGTTCGAGCCAATTTAAAACGAGCAAAGTGACAATCATCACCACTTCGACCTAAACCCTGATCAAGTGCTCACTTAGAGGCAACCAACAACACCAAATCATGAAACTAGTGTTTAAGTATTTTAGTTAGAACTCAAATGCCAAAATAGCATTGTCCAACACTCTTTTCCGACTTAGAAAAGACAAGGGCTCAATTGGACTTAACATCCATGAACACTTGTTGCCACTATTTTTAAGAAGTCTATACCTTATTAACTTCAACTAAGAATTACTACATGCGATAGCCCATGCTTCACACTAAACCATAGGAGAAAAATACTTAAGCACTATTTAACTATTTTGCTCAATATAATTCACCAAAAATAACATGTTAAACATAAGTTCAAATTCTTTTCGATTCAACGAAAATACTGATTTTTAGTTTCAGATTCGATTTTTGAGCTCTCAAGAACGCTAGTTAACAACATTTGTTCTCAAAAATTAAAATTGCATTTGCTCATCATCTTTACTTAAGTACTACACACAAGTTATATATATTTTTTTGTTTATATAAATTGTTATTCATGCCAAACAATTAAAACAACTTATCCTATTTTTCTCGTTAGGATTTTCATTAGCACTTTTACGCACCAAGTAAGTTAACTTGGATATTTAGTTGAGTCCACAAAACTGAGTCACATAGGATTCGCTTATCATTTCATGTGCGTTTTAAAATTTTTAAAACCCAAAAACTTGTTTGGCTAATCTCTCTCGGTCCTCAATCTCGGTGCTAAGTAAGCTTGTAACACCAGGGGTGTTACAACGTAGTGTCGACTCCATCGTAGTCCACATGAGGCCACACTTCTAAATCCCCATCGTGAACCACGACCAACAGGATTGCAAGTAATCCGTATGTTTCTTGTTCAATCTCCCACCAACTTCTTTTTCCCCAATTTGAGATTGGATACTATGGGCCTCTTTGGCATGGATTCGATCGGCTTCGGTTTTCACCTGCAAATCCACTATTGAGCACTGTTCACTAAAGCCAGATTTCTCTCTCCTCCCTCTCCCTCTCACAGAGCCAGTAGGAGCTGGTGAAGCCAAAAATTTTAGCTTCACCGGCTCCTATTGGCTCTGTGAGAGGGAGAGGGAGGAGAGCAGGGAGGAGAGAGAAATCTGGCTTCAGTGAACAGTGCTCAACATTAGATTTGTAGGTGAGAGCTGGAGCCGGTAGGATCCATGCCAAAGAGGCCCTATATTTTACTTTGGGAAGATTCGTGCTGCCCTCCGTCGTCAACCACGGCTATATCGCAATTGAGGTTTCCTACGAAATGACTTCCCTAAAGTGTGATGTTGGTCCCACGTGGCGGCGCCTTTCATCTATGTAGCGATGGGCTTCGCACGATCTCTGGCAGAGCGATGAGCCTGTGGACGGAATAGTTATGAATGTTTTAGTTGTAGAGATAAGTAATTTTGCCTCAATTCTTCTTATAACACCAAGCATTTGGATCTGAAATCTATTTCTGCAACTATTTTTCTCTGAGACTGCGTTCCTCCCCAACAAGACCTTCTTGCCTCGGCCTCGGCGCCTTCCCTCCCCCATGGACCTTTTTGAAGCCTTGAGCTGAGACCGCGGACCTTTGCGTGGCGGGCGGTGAGCCAGGCGCAAGCCAAGGTCCGGGGGGCGCGACTAGGATGGCGAGGAGGCGGTGGCGCAGGTGAGGCCTGGAACCCGAGCGGCGGTGCTCTAGTGGCATCGGTGCCAGCGGCTCGGATAGTTTGTGGCACAACTCTGACCGCAAGACAGTGGGATATTTAAGTTTTTACCATTATAACGGATGGCACTTTCTGAGATAGCATCTTTAGAATTGACACTATGGTTTTACCAGTAGAGAGAGAAATTTGATACGAAATTGCCACTTTTGCTCGCGTGTCACGCCAACACATCACTCCAACGCGGATCCGAGTCAGCAGCCTCATGCGAAATGATGCCCCTGCCCCTGGCATGTTTATACTCAAGACAGTCGGACCCCACCTGTCAGCCATCTCTCCTCACCTCTCCTCTCACCGACGGGGTGGACCCCACCTATCAGGATCATCCCCTACCTCCATCCACTGATCCCCTTCGCTGGCCATGGCCGGGCGACCACGCGTCCGCACCCTCCCGCGTCCTCAGCATCCCGCATGGACCTGGCCCCTCCGCGACATCCACCACATCACCATAGTCACGATCCCTCCACCGTGCGCACCGAGTCAAGCCGCCATGGGCGGCATACGACCGAGCTTCCCACTGCCAGGGGTGCCCACTGCTCGTTCCTCCCCCTCTCCGCCACCCCTCGGGCCCCTCTCCACGCCGCAGACATCCCACGCCTCCTCTCATCCTCTCTTCTTCTCCAGTACTTGATCACCGCAGCCACCGCCATTGCTGAGCTTTGGTTCGAGCTCCGGATCTCCACACAGACACCACCATTCGCCTCCCTGCTTCCTCCGTTGGCCTAGCAAGGATACACCGCCCCTGCTGCACCGCTTCTCGACGTCGAACCATGCCCGCAGCGCCATCTCGCCGACGAGAAGCTCGTCGTCATGGTCCTCACCGCCCAAGACAATGAATGGCACCTGGCGGCGCTTGCGCCCCGAAACACGACACCGTCACGCGTCGTCCACCGGCGTCGACCCTCTCCGACTCCACCCCCCCCCCACGTTGTCGCCCGCTTCTCGCCTAAGGGATCGGTGGTCGGAGGTGAGGATGACCTCGATGGCGGTCCACCGTCGGCGGAGGAGAGAGGCTAGGAGAGATGGCTGACAAGTGGGGTCCGACTGTCTGTGAGTATAAACACGCCAGGGGCAGGGGCGTCATTTCGCATGGGCTGCTGACTCGGATCCACGCTGGAGTGATGTGTTGGCGTGCCACGCGAGCAAAAGTAGTAATTTCGTATCAAATTTCTCTCTCTGCTGGTAAAATCGTAGTGTCAATTCTAAAGATGCTATCTCAGGAGGTGTCATTCGTTATAATGGTAAAAAGTTAAGACAGTGAGCATGGGATTGCTGCTGAGCCTAGCGGTTTAGTTCAAATTGAGAGCAACAAGTGCTGTACGAATTCCTTTGTTTTCCTGAGGTGTTCCAAAGGGCTTCCGAGTCATATTCCTATGTTGATCGGAGAAGTGGTGTAGTTGAATTCCTCAGTTTTTCCTGTTCCAATCCTTTTCCTACCTGTGTTTCAAAGGGCCTATGTGGATAATGAATAGTGCCTGATGGGGAAAACTAGATTTCATATGATTATATCCCATAAAAATAAATAATTATATCCAAATATTACTCCTTAGGTTTATAGTGCAATAGTCCAATCATCATCATGTATATGACGACATACCATCTCCCATTCTCCTCTCTCGCTGCCCGCAAGGCCGCAGCCGTCGCGTCGACGCAAGTTCAGACGTCCCTGCCGCAACCGCATCAACGACGCACGGACGAGCTCCTGTGGCTGTGCCGCTGCCTACCGTCGCGCGAGACGGACGAGCTCCTCTCCCGGCCGACGCCGCCGGGATTCCTTTTCCCCGGAATGATCTGCCGCCCCGTCCAGGCGGAAGAGGAGCACTAGGCGGCGCCTCGGATGGGGCGCCCGGGGTACATCACGGTGCCGATACTCTCCGTGCTCGCCGCGATTGGCTATGTCTACTACACCACGGTGTTCCTGGCGATCCCCGCGTGGCTGGGGCTCTCCACGGCGGCTGGGCTCGCCAACGCCGCGGTCTTCACCGCGCTCGCCGCTGCCTGCGTCGCAACCTACGCCGTCGCCGTATCGCGCGACCCGGGCCGCGTGCCGTCGTCCTTCGTGCCCGACGTCGAGGACGCCGGGAGCCCCATCCACGAGATCAAGCGCAAGGTACTCTACTCGCGGCCCATGCCTCCCTCCGTCTGGTCCATGGACCACACCAGATCTCGCGGGCGCCCCCGCCGCGTGGTGCCAAGTTTAGATCTACGTAGTGCGATGGTAGTCACATGTGTAGAATCAGAAACTTCGTTACGAGTTCAGATCTTGGGATTAGATTTCGAGCAGGCATTGCCTTCAAGCAAGGTCCGGCGAGTTCTTAGTTCCGCGCGTGAGATTTGGATTCTTAGTCGGGATCACGGGAATGGTCCTATACCTATTGGAGCGCCGAGCGCCTCGGTGTTGCGATCTTTTGGTGAGCGAGGAACTGTGTATAGGTGTGCGTTAACATATTTGCTCTGAATCCTTGCACTATCCGCCGAGATTTTGTTCTCTTCTTTCCATATTATTAAGTCCCCTTGGCGCTGCCACCTTGCTAAGCAACATTGATCAAACTGACGCTACAGCTTTCTGGCTGCAAAAGCTTGCTCACTGGGCCTCCATCTCCGCTGCATCATATTCGTCAACCATCGCCGCTAAGGCCTTCGCCAGCTCCTTGTTGACCAGGCGTGTTGCTGCCCTGATTGCCTTGATGGCCTGCTCTGGAAGATCAGCACCATACAAGTCAATGTATCCAGTCACTGCTGCATCAGGTGCCGGTTGCTGTGGATTGACGAACTCTAGTTCGCCCATCAGCTTGTGTTGTGCGCGCTGAGCCACCGGCACCGCAGATGGTTTGGCAGCCAGGTGCAAGCTCGAGCGCGTCGCTTGCAATGTCTTCTTCTTCCTCGGCTTGCGTGTGCGGGGGAGGGTCGCTCGGGGTGGAGGAGAATCTGGTGTCGGCAGCGAGGGTGTCAGGAGCTCCTTGAACAATCTGTTGCAAAACTCAACATTAGTCTGGACATCATCATCAGCAGGCAGTCCACCATCCAGTTGTGCGCTTCCCTCCTCATAGAGGTCCTACCCCAGCCGTAGATCCTCAAAGCTTGCTTGGGGGGCAGGAGCATGCTCCATACGGGCCTCCTCCGATGTTTTGGTCGATCCCTCCTGGGACTCCCTTGACGACTGAGGCTGGACACCTGGCCCAAGGAGACGGGATCGTCGCCGCCGGAGTCTAGGGAGTAGCGAGGACCGACCGCTGGCTCCGCGAGGAGGGAGGCCTCCAGGAACACCGGGTCGTACCTGAGAGGAGGGCTCCTTGGGAATGAAGCCCAGAAGCCGTGGTCTGTCAGCGGGTCTGGACTTACCGGGAAATGAGGGGTGCTGTCACCCGTGCCCATCTTATCGCGACGCAATGGTGACCGCGAACGGCGTCGTTCGTTGCATCGTCGCGGTCCCTCGAAGTCGTCATCCTGGTCACGCTCGCAATGCAACCAGGGTGCCGCTGGCGCCTGGCAATGGCTGCACCACGGAACGATGGCGACACGGCCCAGCGTTGGGCGGTTGGCAGTCTGGCCAGACACGTCCTTTGTCTCCCTGGCCTTTGGTGGTGGGTGTATTGAGTTGTTTGGAGTGTTCTGAGATGGTGGCGTTTTGGGATGGTTGGCAGAGCAGAGTGGTGGAAAGCTAGGCGGCTGTGGATGCTACTGGTCGGGAAGGTGAGCTGGGAGCGGAGCTTGGCTGAGCTGGGTTGTCGCCGGGCGGAGCTGCAGTGGCGTGAGATGTGGCCGAAGCCCTTGCACCTTAGGCAGCGAACAGGGTCCCTGCATTGTGCAACTTGGTGGTCGACGCCGAGACACCGGAAGCAGCGCCCGACGAGGCGCCTTTTACAAAACTCCCGGTCGTCCATGGTGTGTCCCGGGGCGGCGTCCTGCACTGCTCGCCTAGTCTTGCCAGAGCCATCCTCCTGTAGAGTTTCGTCCTTGCGCCACCAGTACTTCATCCTTCCCGTTTGCCATCTCGGCGAAGGCGGAAGCTCTAGCCGAGCATTAGCTCCCGAAGACTCCCCGAGCTCCCAGCAGCTGCTAGGCTGAGAGCTGGCAAGCTGCTTGAAACCTTGAGCCTTCTGCTCTGGTAGCCACACAGTGGAATCTTCCGTCACCTTCAGCCTCCTCCACACCATCTTGTGACGGCCAGTGGCCGCGGCAGAGGGCGTCGGCACGCTTGTTGGCCTGAACGGGCTCAACCATGGCAGTGGCTTCAACACGGATGGTACGGCCGGCACCCTTGAGCTGCTCACCCCAGCCGCGTCAGGACCAATGACGGGATGAAGCTGTTGCGGGGGAGGCGATGGCTGCACCAGCACCTGACTTCAGTCTGGCCGGCGTCTTGGATCTAACTGTTACCGGGTCGACTGAATCGACACCTGAAGGCAAGACGCCAACGACGTTGGTGGCCGGGCCCGCAGCTACAGGCACACCGAGAACAGGGCGGCTGCAGATCTTGGCCGCTGAAGCTTCAGAGCTGGTTTCTTCAGCTGGGTCCTCCTCACTATCAGAGTCGCCCCAATCAAGGAGCTCCACTTCCTCAGTGGCGCCTTCACTGCTTGCAAGTGTGGCGGGGGTGGCAGGGGTTGTGGTGGTGGCCGCCGCTGCCACCCCGGCAGGGGCGCTGGAGGTGGCCGCCGGAGCTGGGCTGGCTGGCGGCGTGGGGAGGGCTTGGGACGCCAAACCTGCGCTTAGTGCGGCGGGGGTGTCAGCGGTTGTGGTGGTGGTCGCCGTTGCCGGAGTGGCAGGGGCGCTGGAGGTGGCTGCCGGCGCCAGGCTGGCTGGCGGTGCGGGAAGGGATTGGGGCGGCGCCGAACCTGTGCTTCTAGGCTCCGATGCTTCCTCAAACTGCTGCAGGATACCCGGAACCTTCACATGTCGCGATAGATTCGGCTCCGGGGATTTCAGATCTGAGGTCGGATGGGTTGGGTGGGGGCTGGGTGGCTGGATCAGCTCCGGCGACGGGGGAGCGCCGTCGCCGTTGCCAGGGGTAGCGGACGGGTCAGGAGCCATCGTGTAATGGTACTTGCACCAGCGGACGGGTCAGGAGCCATCTTTGTTACTAAATCAGACTAGTACAGGGGACTGTTTGCTAACTTACTCCAGAACATTGCAGGGTGGTGATTTGAGATACTGCCAGAAATGTTCCCATTATAAACCTCCTCGAGCGCACCATTGTCGTGTCTGCAAAAGATGTGTTCTAAGAATGGTACTGACTAGTGCTATGCGCAACACCTCTTTTTTTGTATTCTTAATTCTAATCTTCATCTAACAACTTTTCCTGTGCAGGACCACCACTGTATATGGATTAATAACTGTGTTGGGCATGAGAACTACAAGATATTCCTAGTTTTTGTTCTGTATGCTGTAATTGCAAGCTTCTATTCTATGGTACTGTGTTATCCTTGATATTCTTGAGCAACCAAAGCTTCTCAAAGATTGAGCATAAAGTTATTGATGTTTACATCAGGTTCTCATTATAGGGGGTGCTGTGCATTTACCTAAAGATAAACAACCAGGCAGTGATTCTTCTAGAACATCTATTGTAAGTACCCCTGGAAGGATGTTTCAGCTATGAACAAATCAATCACCATCTGAATTTTCGTCTGAAGTTATGTTTGAATAACACAGATGTTATATATTGCACAGATTGTTTGTGGGGTCCTTCTGTGCCCTCTAGCGTTGGCACTGACGGTCCTATTGGGTTGGCATGTTTACCTCATCTTACATAATAAGACTACTATTGAGGTTTGAGAAATATGATCTCTGTCTTCGATGATATCATTGTTTGTAGATTTTCTGTGTTGGTAGTTACATCGGTGGTTTGCAGTATCATGAAGGAGTTAGGGCTACGTGGTTAGCTGAAAAGGCTGGAAATATTTATCATCATCCTTATAACCTTGGAGTCTATGAGAACCTAGTTTCGGTGAGAACACTTCTTTACTTCTATTATTAAGATTTTTGCCCCAAAAATCAAAATAAGAGAGATTAGCCTAAGTGCATTGGTATGTAAATAACTAAACATAAATATCCTTTCCCATATTGAAATAACACTAGTGTGTCTTCTCCATTCCCATGGACTGGGCTTTATATTTGACTATTCAAAGGACTAACTGAAGTCCAGGTCTTATCTAGTTATCTGGTGTGGTTTATGTTGTTTTTCACATATCCATTTCTTTACTGGGATTTCCATATTAAGCTTATGTTACAGATATATTCTCTTGAAATTGTTGTTTCTTGGTTCATTGCTTAAATACAGGAGGTGAACAATTATTACCACAAACCTTCCAACATTTTGTTATTTTTCTTATACAGGTGCTAGGTCCTAACATGTTGTGCTGGCTCTGCCCAATATCAAGGAACATAGGAAATGGTGTTCGTTTCCGCACATCATATGACATTCCGCTATCAACTTCACCAATGTGATGCACACCATATAAGGGTACACTCATGTTGGATAGTATCTGCTAATTTGCAAAAGAAACTCAGGTGCCCACACAAGTGCTAGATGTGCTATTCTTCACAGTTTTGATTTTTAGCATTTAACCAGAGTGTTTGTCTATCCTTAAAAGGAGAGTGTTTCCCAATGCTTGAACTTTTGTGGTAAGGGTGTGCTACATCAAATCCAGTGTTTTTAGGATACTGCTAGATACATGAAGAGGATCTGTCATTAGGATTTTTAGAGATGCTGACATACTTAGGATTTCCTCCCTTTTTTTGGACATTCTTGATCAAAGAAGGAATTATTGCTTGTGTTGTAGGCTCGAGTGGGCTGTATTAACACACACCCAAAAAAAAAAGAAAAAAAAAGAAAAGGAAAACTGTACTTAAGGTTGTTCTGTTGTAGAGTGTCGGTGTTTTCGGACCATCGACGAGTAAATTTGTATTTACGTGTCTGGCTCGGATGGTGTGCTCGGAGGACATAAGGATTTATACGGGTTCGGGCATAACGTCCATACGTCCAGTTCACTGCTGCTCGTGTTACGGCACTTGGTTTGCAGTAGGGGTTATAAACAGGCGAGAGAGGGAGAGAATCCCAAGTCTCTGGTGGAAGAAGTGAACGGGTGCTGAGAGCTCGCTTGCCGCTCAGCCGTGTGCTCGTGTCGTGCGCTTGTGTTCAGATCCCCGGTAGGGGCGTCCTGCTTTCCTTTTTATAGGCGAAGGAAAAGCGCGGGTTACATAGGAGAAAAAGGAGAAGAAGGCTTTCAGTGTTGCCGTGTCCTTCTTCATGAGGGTCCCAAACTGTTTTTTTTTTTTTGTCCTGAAAGCTCATGTATTGCTTTGTTAGATAGTAGATAATGTTAAGGACCAATCAACCAAGATTGTTTGTATACAGTTGTTGAAGAATGCACGTCGATATAGCTGTTTGCACATATAGGTGTATCATATACCGTGCACCTATTTGTTTCCAACAAGTGTTGAATTTCTATTTTTCGCCTGAAGCTGTTATGTTAGCAGTACAAGCACGCGTTACTTGTTAGCTGTGCCGCCTTGCATGGAATCTGGATTCCTGCATGTTCCTGATTACACAGGTCCACAGGTCGTCTGGCTAGGAACCTTGGGAATGACCCTGCAGAGTAATAGTCTGGCACAGTATTATAGCCAAAGCCAATGCAAGACTGGACTAGCGAATCACTTCCTGCATTGGCTGAACCCTGAGCGAGAGCCAGAATAGTCTGCAGGCATACTCGGTGTCTCGGTGGCTCGGCGCAGACCGTAAAGCAGTAGTACCTCTGCCCTTGTTTAGTTGGCAAAATATCCCAAAATATACTGTTGTTATGAAGTAGCCCAAAATATAAGCAATAAAACTTTTTAGGGGGTGTTTAGCTTCCAAAATCTGAAAACCTACTGTACATCATTTAATGAACTGCATGCAGCTTATTAATGGCATGCATGCATGAACTTGAATGCAAGTAAGCAAGGTTTTACATCCACCCAGCCATTGTCAACAAATGCATGTCATTGCTGGGTCATGGAGCCTCATCAACAGCATAGCAATGAACAGAAACCAATTGGTAAACAAATGAAATGGCACAGGCTAATGCCGGCACATAGTTACACAGTCAAATAATTACATTGTTTGTCGGACAAAAAAATACAATTACAGCCAAATAAATTAACAGTTACACAGTCGCCTCAAAAAGACGACCAAATCATGTTCGATTAGCCAAACCGATTGCGATGGATTCCCGAAATGCATTCATAAGCTACGAATCAGAACAACCGCTTGGAGGAATAGTTTCGGGCTGATCGGCACCGGCTTCTTCCGGCACATAGTTGTCATCCCGGTCACACCGAGCAAAGTGCCGATCCTCGATGCCACTCACCCTTATGAAGTTATGCAGGGCACAATATACAACAATGATTTGACTTTGTATATGGGGGCATAACTAGGGACTTCTTTCATCATCCGCCACTTCATTTTCAACACTCCAAATGACCTTTCTATGACATTCCTAAGTGACGAATGTGCATAATTGAAGATCTCAGTTTTACCTTGTGGTTCTCGTGCCTCTCGGTACTCTCAGTAGGTGGTACTTTGTTCCCTTATACGGTGCAAGATAACTCGGTCGGTTAGCGTTACCCCCGAGTCCACAAAGTAATATTTGCCTATACCATTGAAACAACAGTTAGTATCACGAACTTGTACTGCATGCACAAAAGTATAACCAACTAATTGTATACCATTTGGTGGATGTGGAAACACGTTGTTTGTATGTTGTTGTCGCATCGATGAAGACCCTCATGTCATGTAATGAACCCGCCACCAGCTAACACGAATGTAAACCGCATGTCGAAGTCACACACACCAAGACATTACGTGTTTGTCATCCCCTTATGCACACAGTCTTTGCACAAACTTATCACTAGGCACCACACAGGGGACATGAGTCCCATCTATCGCCCCTATGCACAGTCCTTGAAGTAGGGATAGAACCTAGTATTTCTTAGCCTATCATGCATAGTGCTGAAATTTGGGTCATTAGGCCTAATGATGTCGAAGCAAGCTTGACAACAGACTTCAACACCCTATGAAACATGCTATGCACAAATCCCAAAGGACCTCTCAAACCTATCCTCCTCGCTTGCCTAACATATTATGGAGCCCCCACCATCCACAGAAACATCCCAAGGGCTTCAAGGGCTTCAATAGATGCGGATTTGCTATTAGATTTCAGCCCATATGATTCTACCAACACATCATGCAGACTGTGGAACATATCAGGGCTCATTCTGAACATGTTATAACAGGCCTTCCTATTTCCTAGTTTACTATGTACCCATTCCAAATCACTAATGACTGGCTGTCTATACTCTGACCTTGACAAGTGCTTGTCAATGTGGTAGGCGTACTGGTACATACCGTACAGGAAAGCATCGTCATCATCCTCCGCCTCCATCCAGTCATTGATGAACTCGTCCAAATCATTATCATAACAATCTTGCCTCGAGGACATCATCCCAGTCACTATTGCTTGGACATCCTCTTGTCAAAACGAAAACAGTTCACGTCAGTTTTCAACATCAACTAGGCAACATTAGCATGCATCCCTATTCAAACTGACTCATGCCAGTTACTCAAATTCATGCACTACATACATCAACAGATCATAGCCATATCCAATCATACTACAAATAACCAGTTCAAGTGTTCGACATGACATACTTAGGTCAATGACCAAAGACACCCACCACACCTCACATAGTTCTAATGACATAACTTAGTAACTACGTAGAAAGCTTAACAAAATAAGGTCTAGGGGAGGACCCCGATGTATTGCTTAATCGTCAGCATCCTTCCTTGGGGCGAGGAGCTTATGAAGAAGTTCATAACAGGCTCACTCTGCACGATCTTGAGCATAGCCATCCACTCAGCTGGGGTCTCTTCAGTTGCACCACACTGTCTTGCCAATTGTAGCACTAGTTCCACCTTCCTCTCCAGCGCCTTGCTGTTGTCCTCAATTTTTTGGTTCCTCTCTTGCCACATTGCTGTCATCCTCTCAAGCCTCTGC